AATATATATATTTAATGAACTTTCTAATACTTGAGAACCATATAACTCACCTCATATTATTTTTTGTTGGAGGAGAGGGGAAGGTGGAAATTCCTTTTGCTCCCTTCCAAGAGATAAAAAACAGTAGGAGTCTGGGTAATAAGATATCATTGGGAAGTTACAGCATCCCGAGAAGACATCTGTGAATGAGACAGGTGTTCTTCCTCCTGACATAGATGCTGTCTTCCCGCCCCCTGAAAAGAGCACAGAAGTTCAGAGAGACTCCATGCATGCTGGTGTATCTGAGATTAGAATCCAAGTTTTTGACTCTTAGTCCTATTCACTTCCTGCCATACTATGGCCTCTTTCATATTTCTAGACCAAACCAAAGAGGACATTTTGGCAGTTCTGTGTGTGTGTGTGTGCGTGCGCGCGCGCTATATGGGCTTGGTGTTATCGTAACATGTACACATTGTGAGGGAAGCAGCTGGGAAACTCAGAGAAAGAACCCCAATGCTAGCCATGTTTCTCAAAGTGTGTCTGTGGCTTGTTGAGAAAGGGGAAGAAAGAAATTTTCAGGACCTTTTCCATTTTTTTTTTTAAAGAAGAAAGTAAGTAAAATAGTTCTGCAGGTGGAGAAAGAAAGCTTGGTCTTAAGGGACTGAACTGACACCCAGAGATTAAGTGAACTGACAGCTTGGACCTCTGATGTGCTTCCTTTCAGCCCAACGGTGAAGGTTCTCTGAGGATGCCACTGAGGACCCAGCTTCCACACACGGAGAAAAGTTACTGCTGAGCACCCACTTAACCGAATGACCCCTCTTCACCTTTACTTGGAGCCTCGCGAAGGACTTGCTCTCTGGGCCCCCATCTTCACCTCCTGTGACAGCTTGGACGTCTTGCTGGAAGGGACTATGATTGCTGTATAGTCCATTGCTCCTCTAGAATAGCCCGGACTCCAACCCTCTGATGCCTCCTGGAACACCAAGCCTGACTTGTGTGTCTCCAGCCAGTTACATGGGGCCTCATGTTCACACGGTGCTAGTTTCTAACTTCTAGACAAGTCTGTGGTTTGCCCAGCACAGAACACTGGCTCTGTGCAAGGCTGTCAGCTGCTTGACCCACCACGAACCTTTGAAAGACATCTTTCCACTGGGAGCTGACTCACATCACAATGGCAGTCCTGTTGCCTTCTTCACCCAGGGAGGAGAGAGTGGGTTACAGAGGTCCTAGTGTTAGGGTGCTGATGGCTGCCTCGGCCAACACTGTTTCTATCTTAGACATTCTGTCCTGCTCCCCAGTCCATTTTCTAAAGCATGAACCACTGACTTTAAAGTCTTTACATTGTTCATTTTTAATTTTTCTTGGATGAACGTTTATTAAGCATGGAAAACTAGGCTGTATGTGGCGTAGACAGATTACCTTCCCAGACTTTCTCTCCTCCTTCAGAGGCTGATGAGATTGGGATGTGAAGCAAGTCTTCCATCTTAGATGATCCATGAGTGTGTAATCAAAGGCATGAGAGGAACTGGAGGAGGAGTATAGCATCAAAGTCAAGGACTCTACAATGTTAAGTGATTCCAGCTATTTCTTTAGAGTTAACATGGTGCCATTTCCATTATGCAGTAGCAAGCAGAAATACTGACCAGTTGCTGGATCTAACTATTTTGGAGCTAAATCTCTCCTGTTTTGGGAGAAAGATGTTACAGATATCTGTTTACATAGAAGCCAGTATCTGCCACACAGAGCTGGGTCAAAGATTTCAAACAGTGCTCTTTGCTCCTGAAATATCTTGCCTTTAGCTGCAGTGCCTTTTCTGTGTTGAATTTCTTAGTAAAGCCTAAAATTTTAGATTTTGGTTTGAATTAATAGAAGTATCTAAGGAATCGTTTTCTACTTTTCAAAAGATGTGTGTGTGTGCATCATCTAATTAGAGTTTCACAACAGGTGGTGAGCAGTTATTTTTTTCTATTTCCACAAACCTAAGGGTTGGTGTTTTTTTGTTTTTTCTATTTCATAAACCTAAGTTCAAGCCATATGCCTCGATCTATAGACCAAGGTGGTAGCAGAGCCAGGCTGAGAACCCTGTGTGCTCATCTCAGAAACTTCTGGAAGGCTTCAGCAGCTAGTTTCTCCCAATGAGCCTGTGTTGGTTATGGCTGTGTATACTTGGCTGGACCATGATACTTGCCTAGTGGTTTGGCAGTTATGTAATGATGAAACCATCCTTCATGATGTGACCAGCCAATTAGTTGTAAGGGATGTTTCCGTGAGAATTTGGCCTGTATCCTATATATATAATGTTCATCCATTTCTGAGTTCTGCATCCAGCCAACTATCATCTGACCTTCAGTTCTTGAGATTCATCAGCTTCTGGAGCTTGTGAGCCAACAGCTTGCTGTCTGACCTGCTAATCTTGGATTTGTTACTCTTACAGTTACATGACTCAGGAGAAGCCTTCAGCTTGACTTCTGACTCATAGATCTGGACTTGCCAACTTCTACAAATGCTTTCTTTGTGATAAATCTTTCTCTGTCTCTTTCTACATACAAACATCTCTCTAGAGATCCAGCCTAAGATGATGCCCTAAGATGTGACAAACAAGGATTTTTCTTTCTTTTTCAAATTCCGAGTCATTAACAAAATCCCAAGCCCTTTTATTAATATATAATCAGGACCAAATCTATGCCAACGGGTTGGGTTTTTTATGGATAAGATTTATTTGAGAGGAGGGGAAATGCCATGTGGGAGAGAGAAATTTTCTTTATGCTTAGGGTGTAAATCATTGTTTTATCCTATATCATGCCAAAGTTATATCACTTATGCTAAACTTATGAAGACATAACTAGTTGAGCCTTAATTCAAGATAAATTCTCAATCCAATTATACACGTCTATGATTTCTTTCGAGCCAAAGGGGAGCTTGTTATTGGCTATGTACCCTGGTTTCTTCTTACTAATGTTCTTAGTAATAGAAGCCTCAAGAACAGAGTCCTCAGTGGGTCAAATATTTATACTTTTGGGGTGAAGCTTTTTTTATATTATCATACTTTTTTAAAAAAATAACAACAACCAACCAACTGCTTAGAATACTATTTATTTTTTCAAGTGTATATAATGTATAAAACAGATATATGGTTAGTATTTACTTAACCAAGAATTAAAAAAGCCTGCTAAAATTCTTAATGGTCTGGTGACTCAATTATTAAACTTCGAAAGAACGATGGCTGCTTATGCCCTAGGTTTTGATGAAAAGCTACTTTATTGTAAGATGCAATCTCTGTTCAGTACTCATTGTTGGCAGGAAGTAAACAACTCCTTTTACTTAAGAAAAAAAAAGACAATTATTTGACTTGTAGCAAGAAATCCAAAAGTGAATGATAGGAAGAACAAGGAAGGTGGCTAGTCATTATGGGGACAAGAGAGGTATTTTATAAATAATTGAACTGGAAAAGGACGTTGTCAGAGCATTAGTGCGGATATAGGCTGGGTTACAAAGAACCTAGAATACAAGTGAATTAAATGAGATAAAAAGTGATTTTTCTACTGCCTTGAAGACCCAGCTGGTACTGAAGTTCTGCTCCATGAAGTCAGAGAAGTCCAAGTCCTTATATTTTTGAGCTGTCATCTTAGAGTCCTCTCTTTCCTCTCTGGGTAAGGTGTATCCCATCAGATTCCTGGCCAGCCAATGGAAAGTGAAGGGAAAGGACACACCCCATTTTAAGTTCATGGCCAAGATGTTGCCTACATTCTATTGGCAGGAAATCAGTCATGAGAGACCTTGTTCCGAGCGCCTTGTTCCAGCTGAGCTCCTGGTGGGTTTGAACTGCCAAGAATTCTTGGCCTTTGGGTCAGCAACTCCACTCCACCAGAGCTCCTTCAATTTAAGAAAAAGGAAATAAGATACGGCCATTTATAGCCAACTAATTTACTTTTATCTAAAAGTTGACTACAGGATAAAAATTGATGTTTGATGAATTACATAAATTTGGTGTTATTTCTAGCCTTAAATGTTAAAACATAAAATGATGGTGAGTGGTCGTCTCCATTTCCAGTGAGAACACTCTGAAGTGACAAGCTTAATGATGGGAGGGATTTGGGTTAGGAAGAAATACGTTCTTAAGTTAGTCCAGGCGACAGAGGAAAGGGCCGACGATCTCTCAGGGGAACTAATGGAGTTTTTGAGAATTGACCAAGGACCAGGCAAAATCTGAAGGTCCTTTTTTGACTTGGCATTCAATGCCAATCCTTCATCCATGAGTTAGAATCAAAGGTGTTTCTACAAGATCGTTTGACCCTTCCAACTGAAACACTGAACTTGGAAGGACAGATTCTGGAACAACTGGTATCAAATTGTGTATACTGCGCTGAAACAGATGAGGGAGAGAGTAATTTAAAAGCGATGTATGATAGGGTATTATGGTTATCACAAGAGTCCACAATTAAGGTTGC